AATGCGGAGCCTGTCCCGTCCCCATCATCGAGCTCTCACCCTACTCGCTGGCCCGGCACTGCCCACTGGCACCGCGGAGCGACGCGCGGGTCCTTGGAAATACCCAGTGCATCCCACGAACAAAAAAAAAGAAAAAAAAAAAAAAAAAAAAAAAGACAAGGCCTCCAGGCAAAGGAGAATGGAGTTGAAGTCCTGGGTGCCAGCCCAGCCTCCAAAATAATAGGCAGAGTGCTTCCCAGAGGCACCTGTCTGACTCAGGGCTCAGGACAAAGCTAGGGCTCCGTGGGGACGGGAAGGGTCCCCTGGGTGCCCTTGAAGGTGGTGGTCTCCCTGAAACTGGCTCCAAACCCAGCCTTGGCCAAGCTCACCCTCAGGAACTCCAGGCTTTGGTCCCTCCTCCTGTGTGGCCGCACACCTCTGGCCGCAAGCCCTGATTACAGAAGGACTGCGCCTCACTCCCACGGTGTCAACCCTGGGCGAGCCACCTGCCTGCCCTGTGCACAGGCTCCTCAGGGTGTGGCGTGGCCCTGCCCTGCCCTGCCCGCTGGGTGGAGGGTGGAGGGGCAGCCAGGCTTCCTGGCGGTTGGCACGGGGGCGCTTCTCTCCCTGGACACTGGCTCCCCATGCTGCCTTGCACGCATACGAAAAGAGCGATTTCTCATACCCGAGACTCCTCCGAAGAACACTCCCATTGGCACACACACACAATTGTGTGTGTACCACACAATTGTGCAGGAATGTAGCCTGCAGGAAGGGCACCATTCTTTCCGCGTTGGCCAAGGGCAGAGTGTGCAGCGATGGCCTCCACCCCGCCTGGCCGTCAGAATCAAGTGTGGCAGACAGAGCTCAGACTGAAGGGTTTTAACAGTCTCATTATTTCCTGAGTGTCACTCGGACATATGTGTTCCAAATAAATAGTCTGTGTCCATTTTCTAATAGAAGCATATTTTGTGACATATTTTAAAATATTTCCTGGATCTGAAATCTAATTTGCACAACCATACGAAAAAATTAAACATTGAAAACTCAATTCCCTTCCCAGAAGCCATAGCACTGGCTGTAGAGCTCTGCATCCTGTGGAGTCTTTGTCCCGGAGATGCCCGGCCTCGCTGGCTGTGTGGGCAGCAGGTTCCTGTGGCACTTGCTCGTGATGCTGCGTGACCTCAAGACAGGATCTGCCCTGGCCATGGCGGCCCCATGACTGCCACAGCCCCCCGGCCAGAGGTGGAGCAGTGACACCTTCTCCTTCCCCATGGGGTGGCCTGGAGAGGAGCTTAACACGTCTAGGCTCACAGGCCTGTGGCATCGGAGCGTGGACACATCGCCCTAAGATGGGTCTGTTTTCTGGGACACTAATTCCAGTGTGCTGCAGAGATGCCGGTGCCCAGACCAAAGCTGTCTGTGATCACCGTGACACGTCACTTGCACTTGTGTTTGCCCACACGTATATGCAGCAGCTCTCAGAAATCCACCCAGACCTCCTGGCTGTGTGGACCCAGCCACCAGCCACAGACAGGAAAGAAACTAACTCCGTCTCTGTCCCCCGGGTGCCACCTTCGACCTCCCACCCATGAAGGCTCAGGCCCCTCAGGATCCCAGCAGGGCACAGAACTGGCTCAGCCACGGTGCCCCCACCAGGGGTGGATGGTGGCCCTGCAGGGTCTTGTGTTGTCACTCACGCCGCATTTCCAGCCACACTGCCGCTCATGGGCTGGGACTGCACTGGGGCCCTGCTGCTCTGTGTTCTAGGGCGGTGAGGCGAGAGGGAACCGGGAACCCTTCACGTGCACCCTGACTGTACCCTGCTGCTGTCAGCCCACTCCTGAGCCTCGTGTGCTGACTTGGTGGCAGCCAGAGGACGTGGACCATGGACAGCAGCACAGGTGACTCTGCAGGCGAGGACACGGTCATTCCAAGGCACACAGCCGAGTCCCGGTCCCACACAGCACTTTTAGAGACACTGTGTCTGCTTACAACCTTCATCTCATCTGAGTAATGCAACGTCATTTTAGAGGCTGCGCACTGTGCTAAGTTTCTGACCCACCTTCCCTCCTGCCCATAAATGGTTACATGATTTAGTAATTAATAAGTTAACAAGAATCAACCTGATGCTTTTATCTTTATCGATAGCTACAAAATATAGAACAAAGTAAACTATAGAGTAGTTAGATAATAAAACCAATTCAACCATTCACCTTATCAGTTACTTGCAGTTTTAAAATTATTTCTTGAAACAATTTAAAAACGTGGTAAATGCAGAGTTTAAGTCTCCACGGTCTGATTCTATTTACTATACCTGCAAAGGGTAGGAAATAAAAGGATTTCTGCCTCAAGGCAGTTACCAGGAGTCATGAGACAGCATCAGAGTGGGGTCAGGAACCCAGAGAAAGGGCTACTCGAGATCCCAAGCCCGGGTTTGCAGGGAGCCCTCCACACCCCTGCCCTCCATGCTGACAGCGTAAGGAAAACAGAGATGAGGCTGGGGGTTTAGCTCAGTGGGGCTGCACCTGCTTTGCAAACACAGAGTCCTGATTTCAATCCCCGGTACTGGAAAAAAGAAAAAGAGAACAGAGATCAGAGTGTGCGCATGTGTGCAACATGAGGGCAGAACTGACTCCTTTGTTGGTTCATTCAACAAACATTTATTTGCTGAACACGTATTACATGCCGTAAGTTTCACTAGGCACCAGTAGCTTGGTAAGCACTAAGATACAGGACCCCCTTAACAAGTTTGCAGTTTATTTTGTATTAGGGGAGTCAGAAGAATTACAGAGAAGATTTACGTGTGAAAACACCTCTTTTTAAGCTTGGCATTTCCTTCTGGTGGATGTTGCGAT